CTGGCTTCAAAGTTTCAAAGAACCTGCTGACTCTCTTGTTAGGGGTTAAATGCAACTGGTGACTCTAAGTTGAAGCCATTGTTCATTTACCATTCCGAAAATCCTAGGGCCGTTAAGAGTTATGCGAAATCTACTCTGCCTGTGCTCTATAAATGGAACAACAAAGCCTCAATTATAGCACATCTGTTTACAACATGGTTTAAAGAATCTTTTAAGCCCACCGTTTGAGACCTGCTGCTCAAAAACACAAAATCCTTTCAAAATATTATGGCTCATTGGCAATATACCTGGTCACACAAAAGCTCTGATGGACATGTACAGTGAGATGAATGTTGTTTTCATGTCTTCTAACACAACATCCATTCTGCAGCCCATGGATGTAATGTCCACATTCAAGTCTTATTATTTAAGAAATAGATTTCGTAAGGCTTTTGCTGCCATAGATATTGATTCCTCTGATGGATCTGAGGAAAGTAAATTGAAAGCTTTGGAAAGGATCCACCATTCTAGATGCCATTAAGAATATTCATTTGTGGTCCATGAGAAGAGGTCAAAATATCAACGTTAATAGGAATTTGGAAGAAATTGATTCCAACCCACATGGACGACTTTGAAGGGAGACTTCAGTGAAGGAAGTCACTGCAGATGTGCTGGAAATAGCGAAAGAACTAGAATTAGAAGAGGAGCCTGAAGAGGTGACTGAATTGCTACATCTCATGACCAAACTTGAATGGATGAGAAGTTGCTTCTTATGGATGAGCAAAGAGTGGTTTCTTGAGACAGAACAAACTGATGGTGAAGATGCTGTGAAGATAGCTGAGATGACAACAAAGAATTTAAACTACTACATGAACTCAGTTGAGAAAGCAGCAGCAGGTTATGAGGGGACTGATTCCAATTGAGAAAGAATTTCTACTGTGGGTAAAATGCTCTCAAACAGCATCACATGCTACAGAGAAAGCAGTCCTGGAAGGCAGGGTCCACTGATGTGGCAACCTTCAGAAACCACCACCCTGCTCAGTCAGCAGCCCTCAACATCCTGGCAAGACCCTCCACCAGCAAAAAGATGATGACTCACCGAAGGCCCAGATGATGACTAGCATTTTTTAGCAATAAAGTGTTTTTTAATTAAGGTATTTATGATGTATTAAGACATGATGCTATTGTTTTAAGACACTAGTCTACAGTATATTGTAAACAGAACTTTTACATGCACTGGGAAATAAAAAAAATCGTGACTTGCTTCATTGTAATATTAGCTTTGTTGTGGTGGTCTGGAACCAAACCCACAATATCTCCACGGTATGCCTGCATTATCTTTCAGATCTCCAGTTTTTCCCCAACTTCAACGCAGCCTGATCAGAGGAAAACTCCCAGCCCCTGGTTTCAACCTGGGAAGGGGAAGAGTTGGAAAGTGCATCTAATGTTCTGGATTTCTAGGGTACTGCCTAAGGGACTGGTTTCTTTTCTTTTCTTTTTTTTTAAATATATATATATATATATATATATATATATATATATATATATATATATATATATATAATTTCAGAGAGGAAGGCGGGGGAGAGAGAGATAGAAACATCAATGATGAGAGAGAATCATTGATCGGCTGCCTCCAGCATGCCCCACACTGGGGATCGAGCCCAATACCCAGGCATGTGCCCTGACAGGGAATCGAACCATGACCTCCTGGTTCATAGCTTGATGCTCAACCACTGAGCCACGCTGGCTGGGCGGGACTGGTTTCCATCTTGCCTGTTTCAGAGCACTGATGGGACCCGGCACAGTCTAGTTGCCTGGGGGACACTGAGAACAAAAGTGAGCTGGACTTCTTGCCTCTGCTCCAGAGGACCCATGGTACAACAGACAGAGGCCAGCATAGCTTGGCAGCCTGTCCATCGTGGGGCAAGAAAAGAGTGGAGCGTGTGTCCAACATTCTAGCTTTTCAGGGGCTGCCCAAAGAGATGGTTTCTGTCTTGCCCAACGCAGAGTACAGGCAGGATGCAGCACCCTCTGCAAACTTGGGGACCACTGAGAATAAAAGTGACTTGAATGGCTTCCAGCAGCTCCAGAAAACCTGCAGTACTGCGGACAGACACCAGAGGTAGCAAGAGATTACAAGCCCCTAAAAAAAGAGAAACTGGCAAATCCATGTAATTGGGAATTTACATGCACAAGTCCAGAGAAGATGAATCTACAGCAAAGGTTTGAGAGGCCTCTCAAGCTCAGCTAATTGGTAAAAGTCTTTCCCTACACATAGTCAGTCGGTAAAGATTGAAGAGGTGGCTGTTTTTTCAAATGGATAGATCACAACAGAAAGAGACAGGGAAGCATGGCTCAATGAAAGGAACGGAATAAACCTCCAGAAACAAAGTTATAATAATATATGTATTAGTGAGGCTTTAAAGGATGATTAAGTAGGAAAATAAATGTGGAAAACACTTTGAAATTTATGAAAATCAGACGAGTGAAATGTAATTCTAATATATGATTACTGGCTCATTTGCCTTCCTCCCTATTAAAACGCTGATCTTGGTCCTTGAAGCCACGCCATTATAAAGATTTATCTTATCAAAGAGAGAGAAAATAATCTATTAAAGCCAGATGCTTATAAAGGTGAGTGATGTAACAATAAATAATGGGCAACTTCTGCGTTGAAAAAATACTAAATAAGCACAAAAATACTCAACCAGCAGTGAATCTTAATGAAGCTAAAGTGGATTGCCTCTGTGGGGCAGAAAGAAAAGAATTAGGTCATATATTGAGCTCTGTTTGTTGGCATTCCAAAAGCAATGTAGCAAAAATGACCAGTCTCCACCTCCAGATGGTCTCCACCTGCCATGACCTTCACATTGTTTGCACGATCCTAGGTACTACATCTGGGTGGTGCTGAGGAGTGGGATCATCGAAATCACACAGTTTCCTCCAGCAGTGCCCCGAAACCCCAGGCCTTGTTCTCCTGTCCACGACCAAACACATCTCAATTCAGAGTCTAAGAATCAGATATTTCAACCCCCCAAATGGGATGGAGTAGGAGTATGGGATAAGGGGATAACAACAGCAAACAAAGCTAACATTTTTTAAGCACTTAAATGCTTTACTTGAATTACCTCTTTATTCTTCACAGCAACCCTATTTTATAGGTATTCTTTCCTCAGTCCAGAGAGAACACTTAAAGTTTAGAGAGAAAAATTACTTGCTCAAGATGGCACCTCTTTTAAAAAAGGACTCAATTGGCCAAAACCGGTTTGGCTCAGTGGATAGAGCGTTGGCCTGCGGACTGAAGGGTCCCGGGTTCGATTCCGGTCAAGGGCATGTACCTGGGTTGCAGGCACATCCCCAGTGGGAGATGTGCAGGAGGCAGCTGATCGATGTTTCTCTCTCATCGATGTTTCTAACTCTCTATCTCTCTCCCTTCCTCTCTGTAAAAAATCAATAAAATATATTTTAAAAAAAAGGACTCAATTGCAGTTTAAAACACATCTATCCCAAAGTTTAGGCTTTTACCACTACTCTGAGCTACCTCCAAGACAACCTAGGGCTCTTCTTCTTCTTTTTTTTAATTAGAGCTCTTCTTCTAACACCCAAGGGACATGGGGATTCTTCAGAGATTTTTAGTACCTCTTAAGATTATGAGGCACAAAGAGAGTGAAGTGATCGAGATCTTATGTAGGAACAGGCAATGGAATGGGTGGAACAATGATATTAGCTGTCAGGTGCACTGTCTACTGAAAACGTTGCTACCATCTAAAAATAATAGAGAATTCAGTATATGAGGAGCCTTTTCAAAATTTAAGTCAAATAAGTGAGACACAGAAGTGTCTGAATGTGGTAGGAGCTAAATGAGGGTCAGAGAATATTAACTTTGATAATTTTGAATAAAACTTGAATAATAACTTCTATGTGTATTCTACAAACATAAAGGGCTACGAAGGGCAGAGGTAGCATTTGGGAATCCATGGCCAAAGGAAATAAGAGAGGAAAGGTCTTAGAACACGAAACTGGATTAAAACCAATAATAATTTCTTCCCTCAGTCTACTGTTTCAACTCATTCAAATGATGTAAAACCAACTATAAGATGAGGAAGAGTGTTTTCAACAACCAGTCAGATCTCTCCTTAAAAGAACGTTCTAGGGCTTTCTTCTTGACCAGGATTCTTGGTTTGGCTTAGGTTTCATGCAAAGAAAAATCTACAACAAAAATATGGCTATCTCCCAGGAGCCTAACTGAAACTTGCAAGTCACTTTGGGATTATATTTTAAAACGAAGTGTTTTTCCATAAAGATACTACTCTGCTTTTATAGAGTAAATTAAAACTAAATTCGTTTTTATTCAAGAATTCTATTTTTCCATACAGTGTACACTGCTTTTAGTTGGGGTTTAGAGAAGCAATGATTAATCACTTGTCCCTAGGTACTTAGAAAAGGCAATTATCAGTTATATTGGGCTAGATGAAAGATGGGAGTTACAACTTGTTAACCTCGAGGGTGCCAAGCTCAGAGGATCACGCCACAAACTCCTCTTTTTTATCTTACGATGGCCACTGCCACAATGAACACGGCTCTCCTGCCTTGTGTTTCCCTCTCATTTGCCACAGCAAATTTTCTCAGGCGGCAATGTCCACTTAGCCAGAAGGACGTCCAGCAAGTAACCCCAGGTCCACAGGGGTCCACTGGCAGTTCTAAGGCAGGGCAAAGGGACAGAGAGCTGGGAGAGGCCAGGACAGAAATACAGAAGAGCAGGAACAGAAGAGGGTGAGAAGAAAGAATGGGAGGGAGGCATAAAGGAAAAGGAGAAGAAGAGGTGGCAGAAGTAAGAAAAGAGGGAAGATGTATTGAAAGGAGACCGTCTGCAGAGAATTCTATGCGAAGGAGAAAAGTGGACCAGGGGCCCCCACAGGCAAATCAGGACAGCTTTGTGCTATGAGTTGCCTCCTCTCACGCCTAGTCTTTCTCCCCCCCACAGAGGAAGCAGAGTAACCACCCCTCTGTGCCATCACCTGGATGAGCTCGTCCAGCTCAGTCGAGTTGACACAGGAGTGCTGGGAAATGAAGGTTTGCTTCTGGATCACGATGGTGGTCCTCTGGGAAATCTCGTGAGGCTGCTCCAATGCTTTGAACACGGTGGCGCCGATGATCAGGTAGAGGACAACCACCAGGAAAATCGTGGAGACCGTCTTCCATTTCATAACATTAATGGTCGTGTCACTCTCCACCCGGGAAGCAAGCACGGTGGGTTTCGTGGAAAACGAGAGCCTGGGCTTGGAGTTCTGAGCGGCAGATTTTGGATCCAGCAAGTCAGGTGCCGCCACTGGTAAGAGAGAAGGAGGGTTAGGCTGGAGGAGGTCAGTGGGGTAACGGCTGGGCTTGTCTAACGGGTGGCAAAGGTTGACGGAATTCTGCTCTCCTGGTGGAAGCTCTGGAACCAGAAACGCACCCAGGAGCATATGAATGGGTTCAAGGGAAAGGGGCTGGGCCTTCGCTCTCTGCTGCTATTGGGGATCCAGATGGGAGGGGGAGGAAAAACAAACAGGAGTTGGACCGAGAAACTTAAAAAAATAAAAGCATGCTCGCCCAGCTAGTGTGGCTCAGTGGTTGAGCATCGACCTATGAACCAGGAGGTCATGGTTCAATTCCCGGTCAGGGCACATGCCTGGGCTGCTGGCTCGATGCCCAGTGGAGGGCGTGCAGGAGGCAGCCAATAAATGATTCCCTCTAATTGTTGATGTGTCTATCTCTCTGTCCCTCTCCCTTCCTCTCTGACATGTCTGAGGTCTTTCTCCGGGAGAGATTCCAGCCGCTGTCTCCAACCGTCCCCTTTCTCCGGGAGTCCTCCGCCTTTCCCGGCTGCAAACTGTCTCCCAGCTGAATCTCCTCTGCTTATTCGGGCTGTATGTTACCCGCTTCAGCTGCTCACTCCTATCTGCTCTGGAACAAGGCACGGGACACCTCCGTCTATACCTCCGCCATTTTTTCTCTCTCCTAATTAATTTCAAAATTTGTATCTGTCCACCATGAGTCAACAAAGACTTACTGAACTGCTAAGAGTTGCTGATGCTAAAGTAGATATCTGAATACTCGTGAAGAAGGTTCCTGGATACTCCCCTTCTCTAGCACGTAACACTCTATACCACAGCAATCAACGTAAATAACATTCTCTACTTTTGCCTTTAAAAATTCATTATAATAAAGGAATTGTATTATAAGTGAATTTATGACCCAGATGCTATTGCTCAAAGTAAAACATTAGTAATTTTCTGGTAATACATGATGATGGTAAATAAACCACAGTAGCCCAATCATTTCTTTTTGCTTAAGCATTCTCTATGTTTTGTTATTCAATCTCTGACATGTGTATAAAAACAAGAATATCGCTACCCATTGTGGAAAAATCCTTGGTGCAGCCAAGACATGACAAGTTCCTTCCATTTCAACAGTGAACATTATCAAGAAAAAAAGTTTAAAACCTTGTCTCACACCTTGGACCCTACGTGCTCTGTACAAAGCTAATTGCTCCATTAGCATGAATTTCTGTGTTCCCTTACAAATTCCCATATACTCTGAGGTGACTCTAAATCCATTTATTATTCATCTGAGCTGTTCAAAAATATCATTAATGGATTCCTTTTTAGCTAATACAAGAGATACTAGCCTTCTACTTGCTAAGGGGAAAATAAGCCATCTATTACAATATATTTGATTGGAAAAATAACATTGAACCAAAAGGGGTAATAGAATGGCCAACAAAGGAAATTTTAAAAAGCCACCAACTCAACTAGAATAATCAACTTATTGTCCGTAATTGTTATAGAAACAAGTAAAAATAGTATCTATAATACAGGTCTAATAAAATGATAACCTAATCTAAAAGACACTTTGGGGTAAGTATTTGGGAAATCCCAATGGAATTGCCCCTAAATACCCTACAGGAACCTGAAATTACTTGAGGATGAGAAGGAAATACAGCAGAGAATGTCAATTTTCACGTGGCTACATACCTTGCCCTCTTGACTACCGCTGAGTTCAATTTAGGACGACCACAGTCTGAATTCATAAACTAAGTCTTCAGTTGCCCATCAAAAAAGAAGCTTTGCAAACAAAGCTATTTGAAGCACCAGTGCTAAGCAGTGTTGTAAAATGATGGCAGATAACAGAGGGATCCTCAACCAGCAAAGCTCTGAGTGCTTCTGACTTGGAAGAGAGGAAGCCAGAGCCCTGATGGGGTAACAGTACCTGTACATACGTGGGATCGCCACATACGGTCCCGACAGCAGTGAAGTATAGGTATGTACACGTTTCTCCCCTGGGATACTCCTCTGCTCCACAAAGCCCCAAACTAATAGACACTTTTAACATCTCATGTTCGTAAAGGCAACTTCACTCAAAATTAACGCTGGCTATGTGTTTAGAATTTTCATTTTTTTCAAACACACACACACAACACACACTTTTTAAATAGAAATGCTGATAATAGCTAAAATCACTGTCATCTGCTGTCTAACCGCCCCACCAGGCCTCCACGCTGCCTTATGAGTTTGAGTGAAAAATAAAGGTCATAACCTAAAATTTAGCCATTTTTGGAATAAAAATTAACAAAATCACATAGAAGCTCAACATTCTGTCTCTCTGGAGGAAGCTGCCCAAGCCTTTCTCGGCAGTGCTCTGTTCTCTCCTGTTTCTGATGGTTCACATGAGTTGTGTCCAGTCTGCAGAACTGGAAAACACCAAGACGATGTACCTGGGTGCTCCCCAAATCCCATCCCTAAATCCCCACGCCAAACTAAACATCATTATAAGCTTTCGGAGGAAGGGGACAGGTATATTTTTAAAAGTAAGTGTGTGTGTGTGTGTGTGTGTGTGTGTGTGTGTGTCTGTGTGTCTGTGTGTTAAGCTAATACCTTTCCTGACGGAGTTTATTTTAAGCTATTGCCGTATCTTTTAATTAGCAGAAATACATATGATGCACATGAACTGGCAAGATAGAAAATGAAAAAGCAACAGCCTTTCCTCTCCGTCTAATATGAGAAACCCTCCGGTTTCCCTCTCCAGCCCTTTGGGGTATGATCAGCAAGAGAAGCTACTCAGCACAAGGAGTCAGGGACTGGCCCCCTCCACACGCTCTGGGCACCACCACTGCCTCCCTCCTCTGCCCCCAGCACATCAGCCTCCTCTCAATCCTGCTCTCCCATCCTCACCCAGGTATGTCTGCTTCGCTCTGCTCCCGGATTCAATGGACGACCCAATACCAAGAGAAACGAGCTTTTTTTCAGCACCACCGCCCGTCCCACCACGCAATGGGCAATGGGCAACGGGCAACAAGTGTGCCCAGGGTCACCACGCGTCCTGCCTGTCGGTTGCTCCCTAGGGTTGACCCTCCTCCTTCGGAAACTCGCCCCCCCCCCCCCCCACACACACACACGGTGTCTCAAACCCATTCCCAAGGCAGATGCAAAACCTCCAGGCACCTGCAGGAGACCAGGGAGAAGCAGCAGGAGAGGAGCAGGGATAGGGTTGCCTCCAACCCCAGATTATGACCCAACACCTAGGACGGGAAATGAAGGTGGAAATGGTCCGCTTGCCGCCAGCGGGGCGTCAGCAACCCTCCCCGGACCAGCTGGGGCGGGAAAGCGCGGGGCGGGCGGCGGAGGGGGTCCCCGGGGTCTCACCTCCTGCGCTAGAGCCGGGTTTCTCCGGCGAGGCACTGGGCAGCATGAGGCATGCAGCATTCAAAATGTTCTCTTTTATTTTGCAAAAGATGGACTTGAACCTTTTACACACACGCCACGGTACTCACTTCTTATTCAGAGGCGGGCTGCGCGCTCCGAGCTGCACGGGCAGGCATTTTCCCCGGCTTTGTGTTACAAGGTGGGGAGCGCGGGGCTGGACGCGGGAGGGGGTGGGGGCAGCGTGAGGAGCCACGAAATCGCGGGAAGGAGGGGACACCCGCGGGCTGGGCAGAGGGCGAGGCCGAGGCCAAGTTGGGCTCGGGCAGCCGCCGCCCCCGCGCGCGCCTGCGGACGGGCCCGG